TTTCTTCACAGTGTACACACATTCAGACTGCTGCACAATTTGGCACGGCTCGCTGATCGGACGACGGGTCGGTGGGTGGGTGGACGTGTGGGAGCGAGGGAGAGAGACGGATGGGCGAGTAATCCTGCTGTCTCTGAATGGCAGCAGGTATGCCACGGCGACGTCTTTGACGTCTTTGGGACAGAGGCGGTGGCAGCAGCAGCCTCTGCAGGTCTGCTGAGACCAGGCTGAGACCCTTTTGGGCTTCTCTCCACATCCTGTGCAGTGTCTCTCTCTCCCCCTCCTCCCCCGCCCACCCCTCCGGCCCCGTAGGGTTTCTATGCCTGCAGGCATCCGAGCCCGGGGCTGAGGTCGGGTCGGCCCAGGACCAGCGACAGGGCAGGGCAGGGCAGGGTCTTTGTAGTGGGGCTGCACATGGTCTGGAGCCGTGAGCCTGCGCCGCCTGGCCGGGGCCCGGCAGGGTCTCCAACTTCTCGGAACAAAGATCCCATATAAAATGTGACCGGCCAGCGTAACTTAAAAATAAAAAATAAAAAAATCTCCCAAGTCTTTTTGGCCCCTGCTGCCAGAATTCCAAGCCGGAGCAAGCCCCCCCCCCTCTTTCCTTCTCGATCTCGCCTTGCCCCGCGCCCCCTCTCCCTTTTCCCCTCTCATCTCAGTCCCTTGTTTTCTTTCGTTCATGACTGTGCCTTTTCCTTCTCTAGAGCTCCTTTTTACTTTTTATTTTTCCCTTTTCTTTTTACTTGTTTTTCTTTCTGACATGGGTAACCCCCCCCCCTCTATTCTCCCCCTCTCCGCCCTGGTTTCTCCTTTTGTCCGGGGAAAAGGAAGGGTCTCGGGGAAAGGGTTCGAGAGTTCGTTCTTCTCCTCCCAGCAGTGCGACTTGGGCTTTGCTCACGGGGCCTCCTTGCAGCGAGCCTTAGGTGCACGATTACGGGTCATTCCGCTCGTTCAAGAACCGCGTTTCTTTTCTCTGGGATAGGGGAGGATACAGTATAATTTTGACGACCCATCCGATTTGAGACCGCACCCTGCCCCAACTTGTATGTTTTGAAGAATCGTTTTCGTCGTCGAGGGTGGGTTGATTGTGTTTATTACTACGACCCTATGATTTTACGAAGGTGTGCTTTGAGGTGGACAACACGACTAACTGCAGCCCATCTCCATGCTCACGCGGCGCGGGGTCAGGGGTCACCGTCGGGCCGAGCGCTGTTTGAGCTGCCCGCGCGATAACAGCGGCGAAGGAGCAGCGGGGCGTGGCGTAGCGTGGCGCTCGGGAATTAAAAGAACACAACCATTTCCTCGCGTGATTCGAATTCAGTTCGCGAATAAGAGAACGAGGAAGAGGGGGGGGGGGGGAGGCCTTGTAGCGCCCCGCGGTGCCCTGCCCGACGGGAGGGCTGCTCCGGTGCCCTGCCCTGCCTCCCGAGTCCTGCCCTGCCGTGCCGGGCTCCCTCTCCCCTCAAGACCCGTCCCGCCCGCCCGCCAGTCTCCTGCTTGACAGTTCCGTTTGAAACGCGTTTGGGGCCAGACACGCTCTCCACGCACACGCACGCACGCTCGCTCGCTCGCTCCTTGTTTGAGCCCCTGCCTCCCTCTCCCCCCCCCTTCCCCTTCTCCCCCCTCTCTCACTGCCTGCTGTGCGCCGCTCTCCGGGGACTGGCCGGTAATTAAAGTGGCTCATGCAGAGAGCAAACAAATTTAGAATTTTCTGAATTCGGTCAGCGGCTAATACAACGCATTTCGCTCTGGCCGCCCAAAGCGATTCGCGGTGGTGATGGCGTGCTCTCAAATCAGCCCCCCCCCCCTCTCTGCGCCCCGCGCCGCGGTTTGGACGTTTTCCATCACGATTAATCGCAACGCGCCGTGCGCGTGGAAAAACGCGGAAAAATTTCGAATCCTTCCATCCCTCGCCTCGCTCCTCGTGCACGTCACGAGCGACCAAACTTGGCACGTGTGTTCCAATTTTAACGTCGTTAACGCAAATTAATTCGGGCTCCTCGTCGCCTTGCGCGCGGCGGGCATCGCCATGGGCAGCGCGGGGCGAGCGGCCCGCCGGCCGGCGAGACGGGGACAGGTGTAATCAAGTCAGGAGCGTGCTGCATTTGTTCCACTCCGAGTTCAGGTTCGGGTCAATGTCTCCCCGTGTCGCGTCTGTCTCACGCCCCGCGGCCGCCCCGCCCCGGGCCAGCTGACCCGCGCGCTCGCACCCATGGCGTCGACGGCGGCGGCGGCTCGACGTGGACGCTGCCGCTGCCCGTGGCGCAGGTGGTGGCGGCCGCGTCCGGGCCGTAGGCAGGCCGTAGGTCATGACGATCGACAGATGTTGGAAGCGGCCCGAGTCTGGCCGTGAGGTCCGCGCTGCTGGCGGAATGGCGGCGGTCGTGCATGGCAGGCTCATTTTTAATTCGCCGCCCTCCCCTGCCCTGCGCCAGCTAGCAGCGCCGCGCACCCTCCTCCGCCCGCTCTCACTCCCCCTCTCCCCCCTTTGCTCTGGTGAATATTTCATCCGCTATCCGCCAGAACGGAAATACACGTGCACCTGTCTCGTTACTCGCCTGCTTCCGCTCCCCCTGCCTGCCACACCTTCTCCCCTCGCTGACGCTCCCTCTCACTCCCTCTCATTTACATTCCGGCAAGAGTGACAGAGGCAGAGAGAGAGAGGGGGGGGGGGTAGGAAGGGAGGCAGAGGAGAGGGAAGGGAGAGAACCTGTGCGGGGGTTCGGAGAGAGAATGAGCAGGGGAGGGTGCTGCGGGGATGGTGCGCGGCCGGGGCGGGGCGGGCCAGCACCCCGTGCATACTGATATCCCACGTCGGAAGTTGTTTCCCGCTGCGCTTATCCGCTTATTTCTAAACGCCG